GCCCATCCAGTCACATTAACCCCCCCCCCCACACACACACACACCAAGCCACGGCCACAGAACCAGTAGTAACAAATTTTACATTTCACCACTGGCAGGCATGGCCAAGTTGGGCAACTTGTGGACTTCAACTCCCAGAATTCTCCAGCCAGCTAATTCTGGGAGTTGAAGCCACAAGTCTCAAAAGTTCTGAAGGTTGGACACCCCACCTGGTACAGGGTCTCCTGCTTGAGGAAAGGGTTGGGCTAGAAGACTCCTTTCCAATTCTGCATTGGGGAAAGGAAGAACAACAGGATAACAGAGTTGGAAGGGACCTTGGAGGTCTTCTAGTCCAACCCCCTGCTCAAGCAGGAGATCCCATTGGTGGAAATCCCATTCTTAGGATCCTGTTTCAGGGCTTCACTTACCAGTAGCAGCATGAACCACTTGAGCTTTGCAAATAAGACATTTTCATTTCACCAGCTCCAATACTCCTTCAAGTGTAAGCCCAGGCCGGATCATCTCAACTACTCCAAACCAGATTTTGCTTGCGTATCTTTCAGAGCAGAGGCGACCTTTTTGCTAATGACTTTAAATTAAACCAAGCTCGTTCCAATAGTCATTTAGGACAGGGGTCCCCAATCCATGGGCCACAGCCTATTCAGAATTGGGCTGCATGAGCGGTTAGGCAGAGTGGGTGAGCATGCATGCACTCAAACTGCCTGAGCAGCGAGCCGGCAGGCACTTACACGCATGTGCGATGGCCTGCCACTCACTCCAGGGCTGCCCAGTTCCCCTCTCCCAGCGGGCCACCAAGCTGCCAAGGTTGGGGAACCCCTGCACCCTCCTTGGAATTCTCCTGGTTTCTTTTCCCACTTGCCGTTTTATTTTGAAAACCATGTAAGTTTTATTAAAGATTTTAAAAAAGAAGATAAAATTAATACAAACTAAGATAAAGTGGTAGGAAAGGGGGGGAAAATCAAAGATAAAATTAAAGATGCAAGAAAGGGGGAAAGCGAACGAAAAATAGAAAAGGAAGAAAAAAAAGGAGAAAGAAGTGGCTTCCGATCTCCTTTACAGGAATTTTAAGTACGATTATAAATCAATCTCGGCCTCTATGGTAATTCTCTTCTTTTTATAATCTATCCTACCCATCACAATCATGTTTGGGTTTTTTCTCCACCCTGCCGCTTTAGATTTTGACACTATTATTTCCATTGCTTAAAAAATGGAGAGATATCAAGCCAAGTCATTTGTTGCCAGGGGCGCATTGGGGTGCCCGTGGAGTTCCTTACAAAACCCAAGCTCGCATGTGGTTGCCCTGGAGGCTCTGCCAGGCTGCCCATCAGACAAGGGAAAGAGAGAACAAAGAAAAAAAGGGAGGAAACTGGATGCAAACTGTACCAACGGGAGAGGCAGGCCTGGCAGGCAGCGTTTGGGCAACCCGAGTGCTTTGGCTGGCACTGGGTGTGTAATGGGAAGGTTGGTTTGGCAATTGGGAAAGCCTGATACCCTTTTGCTGCAATTCTATGAAAAGGTCCCAGCATTGGACAAATGCATGCATCCCTGTTCCGAAGCGTCAAGAATGCCATGTTAAATAATAAAAGAACAACGAAATAAAAGTCCCTTTTTGAATATGGGATTCTGGTGGTTTCCCCAGAGCAGGGGTCTCCAACCTTTGCAACTTTAAGACTTGTGGACTTCAACTCCAGAGTTCCTCAGCCAACAAAGCAAAGCTGGCTGAGGAACTCTGGGAGTTGAAGTCCATAAAGTCTTAAAGTTGCCAAGGTTGGAGACCCCTGCCCCAGAGTACCAACGAATACAATATAGGAAGTCCTCAACTTACAACGGTTCATTTAGTAACCATTCAAATAATAATAATAAATAATAATAATAATTTTATTTATATACCGCCCTTCTCCCGAAGGACTCGGGGTGGTGTACAGCCAGGATTAAAATATAAATATACAATGTCATAGTTAAAATTAATTAAAATCATTAAATAGTTTTGGCCGAGTTTTAAAACCCAAAATTAAAACCCAATTTAAAATCATTCAGTTTAGACAGCCCCGCCTGTCGGAACAGTAGGGTCTTGAGGGCACAGCGAAACACCCGGAGGTCAGAGATGTTACGAATATCCGGGGGCAATTCATTCCAAAGGGCAGGAGCTCCGACAGAGAAGGCTGTCCTCCTGGGTGTCGCCAGCCGACATAACTTGGCCGACGGTACCCTGAGGAGTCCCTCTCTGTGGGAGCGAACTGGTTGGTGGGAGGCTGTTGGTGGCAGAAGGCGGTCCCGTAGATATCCTGGTCTTATGCCATGGAGCGCTTTAAAGGTGGTGACCAACTCGGAAGATCACTGGGAGCCAGTGCAGCTCGCGCAGGAGGGGTGTTACATGGGTGTAACGAAGTGTGCCCATAACCACCCGCGCGGCCGCATTCTGGACCAGTTGGAGCCTCCGGGTGCTCTTCAAGGGGAGCCCCATGTAGAGAGCGTTACAATAGTCCAGACGGGAGGTGATGAGGGCATGAGTGACCGTGCGCAAGGCGTCCCGGTCCAGAAAGGGCTGCAACTGGTGGATTGGGCGAACCTGATAAAAAGCCCCCCCATTCAAAGTTACAAAGGCACTGAAAAAAGTGACTCGTGACTGTTTTTCGCAGTTACCACCTGCTCAGCGTGATCAAAATTCAGATGCTTGGCAGCGGATTCATACTTATGACCGTTGCCGCGTCCCGAGGTCAAGCGATCCCCATTTTGTGACTTCCTGGGGCAAGGGGGAAGCCAGATTCACTTAAAACAACCAGGTGACTTATCAACTGCAGTGATTCACTTAACAACCGTGGCAAGAAAGGTCGTATGGTGGGGCAACACTCGCTTAACAAGCGTCTCACTGAACGACATAAATTTTGGGCTCGATTGTGGTCGTTAAGTCGAGGACACCTATAGCTTCAACTGGGGGTTCTGATTCACTTGTGGCCCTTCCTCACAACCCAGGCACTACCTAGGAACTGGGGGGGGGAGGGGAAAGAGACTGGTGACCAGTCCTTGCACTTACAACTGCTGTTTTGGACACGTGATCAAAATTTGCAATCAGCAAATATTTACCGCAATTGCAGCCTCCTGGGTTCCTGGGTTCGTGACCTCGGCAGCCGGCATCCGACAGACAGAGTCAGTGGGGAAAGTTGGATTTGCTGAATGACCGTGTGATTCGTTTAACAACTGTGGCAACAACGGTTGTGGAGTCAGGTGCGAGTCACGTAACAACTGCCCTGCTTTGCAGTTGCGATTGTCACCTTGTGAGCATGCAACCTAGTTCAGTGGAAGCGAACAAACCGGCTGACTCTGGACACGAAGGAAGGCTCCCGTGTCTCCAGCTGAGCCTGGAGTCCTTCAGCTTCTACCCATGTTTCTGGGCGATAAACAAAAGGGAGCCCCCAGGAAGGCCATCGCTTTGCTGCAAGCTCCCTTTGCTCTACCAGCAGCCCACAAGGTAAAGCACGGGGACAGGAAGGCAGCTTCAAAGGCCTGGAGCACTGCAAGGGTCCAAGGGAGGCTCCCCTCCCAGGAAGGAAAGAGACCGACGTGGCCCCATGTTTCTCTGGGGCCCCCTGGACAAACAGCCGGAGAGGACTCCGCAACCCATTCAACCACTCCGGCCCATGAAAGCCAGGGAGCCCCAGGAGCAAGATGGGCAGCAGACAAATTGACTTCACAAAAACGGCAGTGATTGGCTTGAAAATGGCAGTGATTCACTTAACAACTGCAGTGCTTCACCTGACAATCGCCGTGATTTGCCTGACAACTGCAGTGTTTCGCTTAACAGCTGCAGCGATTCATTTAACATCTGCAGTGATTCAATTGACATTGCAGTGATTCGCTTAACTGAAGCGATTCACTTAACACCTGCAGTGATTTGCTTAACTGCAGTGATTCTCCTGACAACTGCAGTGGTTCATTTAACATGTACAGTGATTCACTTAACTGCAGTGATTCACTTAACACCTGTAGTGATTTGCTTAACTGCAGTGATTTTCCTGACAACTGCAGTGGTTCATTTAACATGTACAGTGATTCACTTAACTGCAGTGATTCACTTAACACCTGTAGTGATTTGCTTAACTGCAGTGATTTTCCTGACAACTGCAGTGGTTCATTTAACATGTACAGTGATTCACTTAACTGCAGTGATTCACTTAACACTTGTAGTGATTTGCTTAACTGCAGTGATTTTCCTGACAACTGCAGTGGTTCATTTAACACCTGCAGTGATTTGCTTAACTGCAGTGATTTACCTGACAACTGCAGCAAAAAAAGGTTGTAAAATGGAGCAAAACTCACTTAACAGCAGCCTTGCTTAGCAGTGGAAATTTTGGGCTCCATTGTGGTTGTAAGTTGAGGATTCCCTGTACTCCTCAGTTCCTCCTTGGAAACAAGGGTGCAAGAAGAGGCTTTTTCCTGGACATCCTACAAAATTCTATGCAAGGCACAATTTATTTGATGGGGCCCTGGAACCAGGCTTTATTTCAAATCAGTCTCACTCCTTACTCCTTACTGCAGGAAAACTGTGCGTGTCCACACAGGTGTGCATCTCCTGGCACTGTGCAAAGTTTACTGTGAGTCCACAACTCCAGGCAAAAGCAGCTGCTGCCATCTATTGGTAAGAATAAGCCATCTCTCACTTCTTTGTGTATCTCTTACTATACAGAAAGAACCCCGTGGACCAGTTTGCTGAAAGGAGCAGTAATAGACTTTAAAACAGTGTTTCTCAACCTTGGAAATTTGAAGATGGGTGGACTTCAACTCCCAGAATTCCCCAGCCAGCGCTGCTGGCTGGGGGATTCTGGGAGTTGAAGTCCACCCATCTTCAAGCTTCCAAAGTTGAGAAACACTGCTTTAAAAGATCATATATAATAAAATAATAAATACATGCAACGAAGGCAGCTAATCTTGGAGTCATGTTGAGGGAGGGAGGGAGGACGGGGTTTAAATCTTCCCCCAAATTTGCCAATAACTTCAACGGCTGCAGAACACGAATTTTTTTATAAAACTTTCTTAATTATTCAGTGAATATACAAAAATACACTTCTTCAGCTTCGTGGCTTGAAGGAAACTCTGACATGGTCTCTATGCTTCAGAGATGGTCGGCAAACCGAAATCCAGGCACCGAAGGATCTAATCCAAAGCGGGAGGGCTCAGTCCAGATTCCTGTTGGTACCACAAAGAATTTATAGGGTTTCTGGCTCCCTGCCAGAAACCATCGTTTCCATCAGATTCAAGTGCATTTCAGCACCAAAAACACAGATAGTTCAGTCCTGAAATTGTTAATCTAAAGCCAAATATTGGCCCTGTTGTTTCAGAATCCAAGCCCCCTTTAAAAAAAAATAAAATAAAAGAATCTGCTCCTACATTTGTCAAATGAGTCAATTCCAGGGAAGCAATTACAGCTCAGCATCTTTGAAAAAAGGGCAATTTTCCAGTGGCAGGTGAGGTGAGGAAGAAAGTAAATACCTGCCACAGGATAGGTAAGCCTCTCCAATTTCTCCAGGGTCTGTGCTGCAGTTGGGCACTCCCTTCCTCCCAAAGGACACGCTGATTCATTCAAGCCTCCTACCCTGCAAAGATTGAAGACTTTTTCCGTGTCTTGGTAAAAATTATTTGTTCACTCTGATCTCCTCGTATAATCTCAAGACTTTAGAGGTCCGTCGAAAAAAGCAACTGCTGTTGCAATGTTACTGGACAGAAGGCCTTCCAGAAGTACATGTTTTGGAGGGGGGGAAGACGCTGCCCCCACCCGCCCCCGTTGTGAACTTTTCATCATACCAAGTTGCTCTTCAGCTTCCGTTCTCTCTTCTCTTCCGCTCGGTTAGCACAGAACAGCCTCAAAAAGTTAGGCAACCACCAGCCACCGCATTTCACTTCTGTCAAGAGTGCCCTCAAGGAGACTGGCCATCTGTGTCAGAAGTCACCTGGGGCCTTCCTTGCCGGTCAGCTGGAGATCATCTGGCCTGGGAATGATCCAAGTCGGGCGCCGAAGATGGCTGGTCAGAAAGTGCTCTCCAGCAAGCAGTGGCAGCCGCAGCCCGTGGGACAGACTTCCTGGCTACGGAACCATTCCATCATGTGGCTGGTGTGCCCCCCGTGGCCGCAGGTCAGGCAGAAGTTGGAAGAGCCCCGCACGGCCACGTGGCAGATGGCACACTGGAAGGCAAAGCCTTTGCAGATGGCGCACTGAATGCCGCGCACTTCGCTGCGGCAGTAGCTGCAGAAGACGCCAAACTCTGCCAGGGGAGCAAGAGAGAAGGGGGGGTTGATTGGAGGGGGTGTCACAATTAAGCCCTAGTAAAATGGGGGGGGGCACAGTAAGGCCCAAACACTTAAAGGAGAAATGATACAAATGGGCTTTGAAAACAACCACTAACAATCCCTCCTTTCCCTTCTGAAACAGTATTTATATGAGCCAGCCGTGTGCGGCAGAAGCCAAAAAAGCCAATGCAATCCTAAATTGCATTAACAGAGGAATACAATCAAGATCAAGGGAGGTACTCATACCACTCTTTAAAGCCTTAGTAAGACCACACCTAGAATACTGCATCCAGTTTTGGTCACCACACTATGAAAAAAGAGGTTGAGACTCTAGAAAAAGTGCAGAGAAGAGCAACAAAGATAATGAGGGGACTGGAGGCTAAAAAATATGAACGGCTGAGGAACTGGGCATGGTCAGTCTAGTGAAGAGAAGGACCAGGGGAGACATGAGAGCAGTCTTCCAATATTTATGGGGCTGCCACAGAGAGGAAGGGATCAAGCTATTCTCCAAAGCACCTTGAAGGCCAGACAAGGAATAATGGATGGAAACTGAACAAGGAGAGATTCAGCCTGGAAATAAGGAGAAATTTCCTGACAGTGAGAACAATCAACCCATGGAACAGAAGTTGCCTTCGGAAGTTGTGGGAGCTTCATCACTGGAGGCTTCCAAGAAGAGACTGGACTGCCATCTGTCAGAAATGGTGTAGGGTCTCCTGCTTGGGCGGGGGGTTGGACTAGATGACCTACAAGGTCCCTTCCAGCTCTGTTAATCTGTATATAGCTGCCCAACTCACACCCAGCAACTGCGCAGGGTCTAGGACAACTCACCACAGACAACTTGCTGCGGGACAAAACACAATTCACCACAGGACAGCTAGCCATGGCCAACTCAATCTGCTGCAGAACCAGAGTTCACTAATATCAAAGAAATGGTGGAATGGAATCATTAAAGAAAGGATGCCAAAGGAGGGACAAAATGAAATGTGAATGTCAAAAATTAAAATAATTTCTAATTATTCTAAATAATGAAATTGAATTGTTGAATTGTTCCACGGCATGATGTCCTGTGGCGAGTTGGCCCATTCTGACGCTGCACATACTCTCCTCAACAACAGATGCCCTTTTCAGCAATAGAACCACGTCTGGGACACGAAGCTAAAGGAGACAAGGTCTTTCTTCCCAGACTCAGCCTTACAGGTAGAAGCGTTGGAGGTGACCAAGCTGAGCCCGAGGGAGGGGGCAAACGCATCAGCTTGCAAGAGATCTACGGTCCAGCCCACCTTGAATGCCTCTCTTATCTCCCACTCATTTCCCTTGGCTGTTAGTAGTTCAGGCTCTTGTCAACAGTTTAAGCTTGCAATAAAACTTTATATTTGTTTGAACTGCCCGGATCTCCTGATTTTCCCAGCGCTTGACAAGCAGACAAAACAGGGAGTGCCTTGTTGCAAAAATTGTTACGCAAGGCTGAACAAATGAACAAAGCTTCTCCAATTTCCACAATTGGGAATGGGGGTCCCTGTGGGTTTAAGGCTTGTGGAAAGGGTCACTCAGGGGGCTTCAGTCAGAGATCCCCCACCCACAAGGCATCTCCGTGATTTTTCCCTGATCTTGAAAAAGGGCAGGACGGGGCTTTGGAGAGGATCAGCATGTAGGGAAACAGCTCACACATTCCAACATCTGGAAAAGGAAACCGCTTGTTTTGTCTTCCACTCTCAGGAAGGCCAGAGGTTGCTCGATGCATCCCTGGAGCTCAGTGCCCGCTTCCCATTCCGGTTTGAGGGATGGGCTCTCAGGACACCCTTTTGGCCTAACTGAATCCACCAATCCTCGGCTCCCCCGACAAAAAGGAAGCATCTCACAAGGCCAGAGGCTCTCCAACAACAGGAAATACTGTAGCTGGGTTCAAATCAAGTCAGTGTTTATTATGGTCAGGGTGGATTTGATTTAAATCACATTGATTTAAATCACAATTTAAATCACTAGTAAAAAGGCTTGATTTAAATCGACTCGATTTAAATCATAATTTTTAAACAGCAACTGTCATCTCTGCTGTGAAATTGTGTGAATGCATCAATGCAGTGCATGTTATCTCAGCTTCCAGAGCTTGGATTCATTGAATGAGTTTACCAAAAATGTAAATATTGCAGAATATACAGCCTTGTGCTACATAACTAAGCTCCAGTTCTTGCTGAATAAACTAAATTGTTAATGTATCTTAAATAGAAAACTCTCTTTAGATAGTTTTATTCCAAAAGCATTTTATTAAAATAAATTTGATAAAAATAAAAAAAAATCCAATTTAAATTTAAAAAGTCCAATTTAATTTTTTTAAAAATAGATTATTTAATTTTTTTTTAAAAAAAATCATGGATTTTTATCCACCTTGATTACAGTGAAAGACCAGAGCAAGTTCAAAACACTCAAGGATTATCCAGTTAAAAATATTCCTGAATAAAATAATAAATAACAAATAAAATCTATATTAAAATCACAATTTGGCATCCAATCGGTCAGTTGCACACCAAAATAAAAACCCAGCATGGCCTAACTACTGTATAATAGAATATCACACTGTGAGGCCCGTAGTCATTAGATACTAAAGTGCAAGAGAATTTGATGCATGAATTGTGTAAAATAGCTGTGATGAATTAATCACCTGTTTCCGACATTATTTCCACATTGACTCTCTCCTGGATCAGTTTCCATCCATTATTCCTTGTCTGACCTTCAGGTGCTTTGGAAAACAGGCAGCCCCTCAAATATTGGAAGACTGCTCTCGTGTCTCCCCTGGTCCTTCTCTTCACTAGACTAGCCAGCCCCAGTTCCTGCAACCGTTCATCCTATGTTTTAGCCTCCAGTCCCCTAATCATCCTGGTTGCTCTTCTCTGCACTTTTTTTAGAGTCTCAACCTCTTTTTTATAGTGTGGTGACCAAAACTGGATGCAGGACTCTAGGTGTGGTTTTACTAAGTTCACATGGGAGATATAGTAAGTTTGCAGATTTGTGTGTTAACCTGGCAAGATTCCTGTCAATAAAGCTACTACTCTGAAATATCTCTTCCCCTAGGATCCTTGGGACTGATGCGCTCTCTTATTTGAATGGCTCCCTCCATAAGCATCCCTGTTCAGCAGAGTCTAAAAGGGAAGAGATGGAAGAGTAGAACAGTTGACTGGATGGGGAGCCGCTGAACTGGAACTGCCGGGCCTTCTTTTCCCTTGAGGAGGGCAGGTCCTTCCAGGGGGCCAAGACCTCTCACAAGAAGAGGACTGTTGTGGTCCACCAGCAACCTGTGGCACTGGCAGCGGAGTCAAACAGTGAGGAGGCTGGGGAGAAACATGGCCCAGTTCTGGAGTCTGGGGAAGGCTCGGACGAGGGCTCTGCGTCGGAGGCAGAGATGGGGCCAGGGCCATCTGGGAGTGATGTACGGACTCCGGAGTCTCCAGAGGCAGACAGCAGAGAGGCAGAGGAACAGGAGGAGCCTGTTCCTAGTGCATGCATGCGAAGAGCTGCCAGAAGGCAAGAACGGTTAAAAGAAAAGGGACGACTCGGGAGTAAGGCCAGGAGATGATTGGCCCAGAAGGCTTAAAAGAGGAGCAAAGGCACGTGAGCCCTTTGCATGAAAGCAACATTGTTAATTCAGTTCCCAGTCGGCATCTCTTTTTGATTTTGGACTCCATGTGGCTTTGCCAAGTAGGTCTTTGGCAGCGTGTCAAGGGAGATAAAGGTTGGTGATTCATCTCGAAGGACTTCTCCGGAAGGATTTTTTGCAACTAATTGGGACTCAGCTGTGAATGAATGGGACTACTCAGAACAAGGACTACCTACTGGGGACCCAGAGGCTTCAACTCACCAATTCCTTTATGAGGCTCGGGGGGGCAGGAAACAAACTTGAGGACTTCGGCACGTTTCTCTCGCAGGCCCCAGCGATACAGGATTTCTCCGTAGCACTTTTTAAAGTCGTCGAACTGCTGCGTGTTGGCAGGATCCAGAAGCCTGAAGGACGGAATCCACAAACGGGCCTTTAGGTCCCTGATCGGGTTTCTACCCTTGCCTGGCTAATTTTCTTTGGCTCACGATTTTCAGTTCTGGCTTTGCATTATTGCAATATGCTTGCTCTCTAATAAAACTATACCTGTCTACTCCACATTTCCTAGCTTACCAAGAAGTAGGCTGTGGTCTACTTTGTAGTCACAGCATTTCGCTGGCCTACTAATTTAGTCACTTTGCCAAAGAATGGAGGGAAGAGCCGAGGATTTTGTTCAGTATCTGCATAACAAAATCACTCAGATTCGGGCAGGTCTGGACTCTGACTGGATAGATCCAGCGAGGGTGACAGAGGCAGGTCTTGAGACTGTTATTTGGGATGAGTTTGATCCTGTGGCCCCAGATGACGTGGACAGGATTCTGGGTAGATTGAACGCGACCACATGTTTGTTGGACCCGTGCCCCTCCTGGTTAGTGCTGGCTTCCCGGGAGGTGACGCGAGGCTGGCTCCAGGGGATTATAAATACTTCGTTGGGTGAGGGTGTCTTCCCCGCCGCCCTTAAGGAGGCGGTGGTGAGGCCCCTCCTCAAGAAGCCTTCCCTGGACCCGGCAGTATTGGCTAATTATCGTCCAGTCTCCAACCTTTGCTTCGTTGCGAAGGTTGTTGAGAGTGTGGTTGAGCGACAGCTTCCCCAGTACCTGGATGAAGCGTCGTATCTAGATCCGTTCCAGTCCGGCTTCAGGCCTGGGTACAGCACGGAAACGGCATTGGTCGCGTTGGTTGATGATCTCTGGAGGGCTCGGGACAGGGGTTGTTCCTCTGTCCTGGTCCTGTTAGACCTCTCAGCGGCTTTTGATACCATCGACCATGGTATCATGCTGCACCGGCTGGAAGGGCTGGGGGTGGGAGGCACCGTTTTACGGTGGTTCTCCTCCTTTCTCTCTGACCGGTCGCAGTCTGTGTTGACAGGGGGGCAGAGATCGACCCCGAGGCCCCTTATATGCGGGGTGCCGCAGGGATCGGTTCTCTCGCCCCTTTTGTTCAACATTTATGTAAAGCCGCTGGGCGAGATCATCCGTGGTTTCGGGGTGAAGTACCATCTGTACACTGACGACACTCAGCTGTACATCTCCACCCCGGACCACCCCAACGATGCCCTTGAAATGATGTCCTGGTGCCTGGAGGCCGTACGGATCTGGATGGGGAGAAACGGGCTCAGGATAAACCCATCCAAGACCGAATGGCTGTGGTTTCCGACGTCCCGATATAGTCAGCTGGTGCCATCGCTGGCTATTGGGGGCGAATCATTGGCCCCCACGGAAAGGGTTCGTAACTTCGGCGTCCTCCTGGATTCACGGCTGTCTTTAGAAGAGCACTTGACGGCCGTGACCGGGAGGATTTTTCATCAGGTTCGCCTAATTCGCCAGTTGCGTCCCTTTCTGGATCGGGACTCGTTACGCACGGTCACTCATGCCCTCGTCACCTCTCGTCTGGACTACTGTAACGCTCTCTACATGGGGCTCCCCTTGAGGTGCACTCGGAGGCTCCAACTGGCGCAGAGTGCGGCCGCGCGGGTGGTTATGGGAGCAACGTGGAGCTCCCATGTAACACCTCTCCTGCGCGAGCTGCACTGGCTCCCGGTGGTCTTCTGGGTGCGCTTCAAGGTTCTGGTTACCACCTTTAAAGCGCTCCATGGCTTAGGACCTGGTTACTTATGGGACCGCCTACTACCATCAATAGCCTCCCACCGACCAGTACGCTCCCACAGAGAGGGGCTCCTCCAGGTGCCGTCGGCCAAACAATGTTGGCTGTCGGCCCCTAGGGGGAGAGCCTTCTCTGTGGGGGCACCGACGATCTGGAATGAGCTCCCCCCAGAGATACGGAGGATTCCGGACCTGCGCACCTTCCGCCGCGAGCTGAAGACGCTTTTATTTCATCAAGCTGGCCTCGCCTAAATCTTCTCCCTTTTAAGTGTAAATTTTAAATTTTTACTGTATTTTAAAATATGGGTATTTTAAATTATGGGTATTAATTCAGCCAAATTTATTTAATTCATTTTATTCAATTTTAAATTTTGTATATCTATGTGTTTTATTTCATGGCTGTGCACCGCCCTGAGTCCTTCGGGAGTAGGGCGGTATAGAAATTCAATAAATAAAATAAAATAAAATAAAATAAAGAATGAAATAAGATTGGTTTGACACGGTCTGTTTTTAACAAACCCGTGCTGGCTACTAGTTATAACTGTTTCTAGATGTTCACACATCTGTTTTTTAATTATTTTTTTCCAGTATCTTCTATTCTCGACAAATGGAGCCAAGGATAGTTTTTATTTAGAAGTTTAAGTTGAGGCAGGTTTGACAGGAGGAAGCTCGGCCTCTTCAGTCATCTGGTCTTTCATGCTTTTTATAAGGAACAGTTTTGAATTGAGAATCTTCTCGTGTAATTAAAGCAAAAACTGGACTGGGGTGAGATCTGGGTTACCGTCATTGTGTCAACGAAGTGGGCAATTTTTATCTGATTAGTTTGCCAAAATGTAGACGCAGTGCAAAGCTAAAGGATCTACCAGTTGCCAGCTACGAAGCCTAGTACTTCAATCCTTTCTTTGACGACTGAAAATCTTTTTGTGTGAATACCTCTGCACAAGAGCACCCAAAGTAATGATATCTAAAAATGTGAATTACATGGAGAAGAGGATCAGGAAAGCAAGACAGGCTCCTTCTAGAGTATCTATCTTCAAAGAAAGCAAAATTAAGCTCCAGCTCTGGTTCCTAAGCAGCTTAAGAGGTTCCCATAAGTCATCCAAGCATCTCATGAAACCCAACACTTATCTGAAGGCACGAGACAGCCTAAAGCAGGGGTCTGCAACCTTAAATGCTCAAAGAGCCATTTGGACCCGTTTCCCACAGAAAAGAAAACACCGGGAGCCACAAAACTCTTCCCGTGCCTGACTATTTCTTTAGCAGCCTCAAAACTAGCATATGTAGTTGAATTAAATGTTTTATTTTCTTCTGAAACTTTTCTTTTCTTGGATTTATCCATGGTTGGCCTACCAGGGGTTGAAAAGCTCAATAAATCGCGCACTGGCGGGTGTCGCACATTGACAGTGGTGACACATATTTTGAGTGAGAGAGCCGCAGCAGAGGGGTGAAAGAGTCACATGTGGCTCCAGAGCCGCAGGTTGCTGACTCCTGGCCTAAAGCAGGGATGGGTAACTATGGCAACTTATGGACCTATGGACTTCAACTCCCAGAATTCTGGGAGTTAAAGCCCATAGGCTTTCAAAGTCATAGGCCATAGGTCATAAGGTTACCATAGTTGCCCACCCCAGCCTAAAGAGTCCACAAATCATATTTGAAACTGCAGCTCTTTACAACATCCCAAAGAGGTTGGGGGAGGGGGGAGGGGGGAGGGCTCTCCATCATGGCCCCTTGTCTCCACCCAGCCAGGAAGTGGTTGGTGACTGGCCCCTCCCACCTTTTGTTCCTGTCATGCTGGTCTCTCTCTCGGTCCCGGGGATCAGCATACGCCAAGTTCCCAAGGCGAAAGTCGTCAGGCGAAGATTCGGCCCAGCCTAGCGTGTGTTCCATGTCTTTGTTGGCTACAAAAGTCAAAAGCTGATTAGCTGATCCTAGTGAGGGTGGTATCCAGCAAGAGAATCCCCCTCCCAGCCCAGCAACAAACATTTCTTCCAAAGAACCTTTCTTGCTTACAAGAAATTTACATTTCCCCCCCTGAAATCCATTCCTATTCTCACCCCATTCCAAGGGTGTTCATCCCAAATTGTATGGCTAAAAGTCTGTAGAGATTCTCAGCCATCCACCGTCCCAAACTGGACTTCCCTTTTTTTCAGTTGCCTCCTGAAAAAGCACCTTTGGGATAATGAGACTAATGAATCCTTCAGCTAAATTAAACTGGAATGCCTTTAACAGAATGCCATCTCTCCTTTTCAAAAATGCCAGTCATAAGACAATAGAGGTACTCAAAGCAGTTACAGCACCCCCAAAGGTGGTGAATCTTTGTGATCCCAAAAATCAGAAAGGCGAAGCCCTCCAGGATACCGCCCAGGTGGCAGAAGTGTGCCTACCTGTGTTCCAACTGCTGGTGCTCAGTCCAGGATCTGACATGCTGGAACAAGAGCCAGAGGAGGTAAAGCTGGGCTGTTGAGGGCAAAACAAGAGGAAATCACATCAGAATGTCTCCCCCAAAGGGCAGACCCTGGGCTGAGAGGGAAAAGAGCAAGAACGCAAATCGGCTCGTACGTATCGACTGTGGCTGGAGGGGTGCTGAGGAGCCAGGCCTGAGGAGGGGTTTGGAATTCCCTGCGGTCTGGATTGGGTCTCAAAGACGCTGCACAGCATAGCCAAGGTCTGCACATCGTGGAGCTGGCAGTAATGTGCCAACCTGCAGAGGGAAAGAAGAAGAAGAAGAAAAAAAAAAAAACAGCCCTCAGCTAATTACAGGTTAAAATTTGGAAGAGAGAGGCTGGCTTTTCTGATCTGCTGATGACAAACCCAACTGCTAAATGTTAACAGCGGAGAGTATTGCCTGCTCTCACACAGCAGCTTTCTGCCTGTAATTTACTATATTTCAGCTCATATTTAGGGCAGGAAGGAAGATGGATCTAACTTGATCGCTCCCCAGAAGAGGAAGGCTGGATATGCAAACCTTTACCTACTTACCTACCTACAGTATCATCTATCTGCCTTTCTATATCATCTATCTATCTGTCTGTCTGTCTGTCTCTTTTTCCTTCCTTCTCTTTCTTTCTCCCTTTCTTTCTATATAGCTATTGTCTGTCTGTCTGTCTGTCTATCCATCCGTCTATCTCTCTCTCTTCCCTTCCTTCCTTCCTTTTCTTTCTTTCTCCTTTTCTTTCTATATAGCTATTGTCTGTCTGTCTGTCTGTCTGTCTGTCTGTCTGTCTGTCTGTCTGTCTGTCTATCTATCTATCTATCTATCTATCTATCTATCTATCTACCTATCTATCTATTTCTCTCTATCTGTCCCTCCCTCCCTCCCTCCCTCCTTCTCTCCCTCCATCTCATTTATTTGCCCCTTCTTGCTGTGGGGCTACTCTGGGCAACTTCCGTAAAACAGAAAAAAAATGTAAATGTAACACTAGTAATTACTTCTACTACCACATTTCTCAGTGAATCTAAACCTGGCCTCTTGGTTTAAGGGTACAATATTGTGGGGAAGAAAGGAAACAGTCTTCTCCTGTTATTACTAGTTACCATTGTTACTATAATAATCAGAATTCTTGTCCATTATTATCCCTCACAGCACTTGGAAATTTTTCACTCATTTTTAAAAGCTTGGTGTTAACCCAAAGAGTTCCAAGAAGCTACATTTCTATGCCTAATAGCAGTTTTCTTCTACGGTTTTGTCCACAAAATGGACCAAAGTTAAGTATTTTCTAAGTACGGCAAGGTAGGCCTCAAGTGCATCAGGTCAGGTTAAAGAGTCTGGGAGGACACAGGTCAAATCATGAAGAAAAATGCCCAGCAGATCCAGTTTGGCTGCTTGCCCGGAGGCCAGGCTCTAAAGGAGAGCTTAGATGAAACTCTGTGTTATGGAGGGGGGTGGGATACATGGTTTTAGGGGTTCTGTGAGAGACTAAACTGAAGTTCACTTCAGTGTAGCCAACCTCCTATCATGAGGTCCGCCTCTTAATCTAGGACATACAGGTAGTCCTTGATTTACGACGACACTTGAGCCCAACATTTCTGTTGTTCAACGAGAGATTTGTTAAGCGACTTTTGCTCCATTTTACGATCTTCCTTGTCACAGTTGTTAAGTGAATCACTGCAGTTGCTAAATTATGACAAGGTTGTTAAGTGAATCCGGCTTCCCCATTGGCTTTGCTTGTCAGAAAGTCGCAAAACGTGACCCCCGGGACACTGCAACCGTCATAAATTCGAGTCAGTTGCCAAGCGCCTGAATTTCTATCATGTGACCACGGGAAAAGCAGCAACAATTCAAAGTGTGAAAAACAGTGAATAAGTCTATTTTTTCAGTGCCATTGTAACTTCGAACGGTCACTAAATGAACAGTTGCAAGTCAAGGACTACCTGTATTCATGGACATATTTCACAGCTTGAAAAAGTTTGGAAACCTCCGCTGTAAAGAATCCCATAATGTAATAAAAGGCCACCGTTTGGCATTTCCAAATAGGTTAATACGGTTACAGTTATACAATCTCGGAATGCCCCTTTTTCCCTTTTCAGTGTGAGTGCCAACCCAAGCTTCCTAGGCAGTGACCCAAGAAACCAACATCCTGCAGATCTCCACAACAAGCAAACAGAACAGCCGCTGCTGGGCTGCCCTCAAATGTTCCCCTTCCCCCTGCCTCCTTACAGAGACTCCAGGAGCTGGCGGCCGAAAGGGTGCTGGGCCCAGGGGGTCTCCAAGTCTGGGTCGGCGTTGGGATCCAGGCAGAGATCGGTCGCCACCGTGGCCAGGGACCAAACCTGGAAAAGAAGGCCACATCAGAGACATGCTGTTATAGGTGAAAACCTCAGATATGATTCGCCAGTCAATAGCACAAGCACTTAGACTTATATACCGCTTCACAGTGCTTTTACAGGCCTCTCTAAGCGGTTAACAGAGTCAGCCTATCGCCCTCAACAATCTGGGTCCTCATTTTATCCACCTTGGAAGGATGGAAGGCTGAGTCAACCTCTTGAGCCATTAAGAATCAAACTCTTGGCAGTGGGCTAAGTTAGCCTGCAATATTGCATTCTAACAGGAAGGAAGGAAGGAAGGAAGGAAGGAAGGAAGGAAGGAAGGAAGGAAGGAAGGAAGGAAAGTAGCAATAATACGTAAGACTTATATACAACTTCATAGTGCTTCACAGCTTTCTCTAAGCAGTTTATACAGTCGGCAAATTGCCCCCAACAATTTGGGTCCTCATTTTATCCACCTTGGAAGGATGGAAGGCTGAGTCAACCTTGAGCCTGGTGAGATTTGAACTGCCAAATTGCAGGCAGCCGGCAGTCAGCAGAAGTAGCCTGCAGTACTGCACTCTAACCACTGCGCCACCACGGCTCATTCAGTCAAATCACAATCCATCTAATTAATTAAGATTCCCCCCCCCCCCAAATAAAACCAGCCTAAAAATGACCACGATGCCGTCAAACTCAGCAAAAGAGCACTGTCTTGATTGCTTTCCAGAAACGAAACCACGGGACAAACAGGGCATCTCGATCTCTCTCATTTTCAGAGGGAGTTCTCTACTTGGAGATGACCCTGCACGATCCAGAGGGATCTCTCTCAAATGATACTCAGGAGGCCACTGGAGACCAGGCTGCTCTCCCAGGCCCCAAGATAGGGTGATGGTTGAGCCTTTGTTGTCTGGGGGTTGGGTTATACCCGGCAGTCCTCGACTTACAACCATTCATTTAGCAATTGTTCCAAGTTACAATCAGTCCTCATGCTTGCAACCATCGCAGCGTTGCCAGTCACACGATCAAAACTTGGGGGAATCGGCAATCGGTGGGTGTTTACAATTGTTAAGATCATCACTTGCGACCATCCCAGCTGGCTTCCGATATGCAGTCAATGGGGGAAGCTGGATTCAATTAACGACTGCATGATTCACTGAACAACTGCAGTGTTTCACTTAAGAACCACGGCGGGGAAAAAAGGAAGTAAATGTTCTATCCATCTCTATCCTCAAATCCCTGAATTGGACAAGACCCTTGCAAAAGGAAGCTGGGGCGGGGAGGCAGGGGACTCTGCGAAGAGCAAAAAATCCAGTAGGTGAGGTCTGTCTGCGGGAGGCAGGAGGGAGATGTGGATTTTTCCTTAAAAAACAAGGGTCTCCAGTGACATCTCCCCCTCTCAGCTCAAGAGGGTCTCCAGACCGTCCTGTAGAGCAGTGGTCCCCAACCTTTCTGGCTTTGCGGACCGGTGGGGAGGGGAGAGGAAGCGGTTCCGTGTGAGTGGCAGATGTGTGCGCTTGCAGCTCTGTTTTTGTGAGCGGCGGGGACTCGTGTGCATACGTGAAGCTCCGTTTGTGAAGCTTCACGTGCGTGTTTGAGTCCCCGCCACTCGCGAAAATGGAGCTGTACGCGTTCACCTGCCTCTTATGTGGCTCGGTTCCAAATGGGCCTCAGCCCAGTGCCCGGCTGTGACCCAGGGATTGGGGACAGCTGCTGTAGAGTGATGGAGAAGGAGCAGCACCTGCAAGAGGTCTCGGCGTCCCACTGTCAAGGCTGAGGCGGCGTTCTTCTGGCAGGTCTCCTGAATATCCACCACGTTTAGTCTGAAAGAGAAGAGGGGTTGCTGAGGGATGCACAGCCTGCTCTCCTTCGCAGGACCTCCAGCTGTCAGGTGGAGAACTTTAATTTCCCAGCACCTAGTCTATTGAAAAACAACAACAAAACCAACCTAGGGGAGAGCTTACATCAGGGGTTCCCAACTGGGGGTGGGAGATGATATTCCAGGGGGTGCGAAAACTTGGGTTTAGAAGTTTCAAAATTATAGTGCGGTGATGGCGAGCCTTTTCGGCACCAAGTGCCCAAACCAGAACATGTGTATGTGTGCATGTGTGCCAGAGCACCGAAAACCCAAAAACCAGCTGGTCAATGCACATGCATGCACTGGCCACCTGCTCTTTGGGTTTACGGTGCACATATGCGCGCCAGCCACCTGGTCTTTGTGCGCGCCAGAGCGCCGGAAACCCAAAGACGAGGTGTCCAGCGCATGTGCAGCAGCCAACTGGTCTTCAGGTTTCCAGTGCTCCGGCATGCGCAAAGACGAGCTGGTCAGCATGCATGCACACGCCAGAAACCAGAAGAGCAGCTGGCAATGGCGTGCGTGCCCACAGAGAGGGCTCTGTGCGCCACCTCTGGCACGTGTGCTATAGGTTCGCCATCACGGTTATAGTGCATATATATGCATATAATTATTTATTTTTTTAAGGGTTGTGAGAATATATCAGAAGCATTCTAGGGACGTGGGGTATAGAAAAAGTTGGGAACCCCTGGCTTACATTAAGCAAAGTGCTGAAAACTGTGCAAACAACCAGATCCACATGTGTAGAGTTCAAGTTAACTACTTTGTTATACAGTCTGCCTATTATATGGAATCTCCCCAGTTTGACAGCCTTCTCTCGGGAACAATTGGATATGTCCTGATTTTATGGATGGTTTTAAAATTCGATACGGATTTTAAATTGATAAGTTTTAAATTACAGGCCAAATTTATTTAATTATTTTAAATCTATTTTTAACTTTATGTATAAATGTTTTTTATCTTGGCTGTTCACCGCCCTGAGTCCGAAAGGAGAAGGGCGGAATAGAAGTTTGAAAAATAAATAAATATATAAAATAAATAAATATGGTTCCAAGGAACCCAGGGGTGGGTCAGTTCTGGATCTCTTGCAATTGGGTATGTCTCAAGGCTAAATTCTCAGGTTGAGGCCTCTCCCTTCCCTGGCTGGGTGTTTCCCTACAGGTCTTGTGCATTCCACGTGGCATAACCGAACCTATTAGTTGGATTTACATAGCAGGATGGCCCAGAAATATATTTTAGGGCTTTGGCTTAACAAGGCTGTGTGAAACCAGTCAATGTGGTTTGCAAGCAGCCTTTGAGGACGTGTTCTGAGCAAGTCCAGCCAATTCTGGTTTATGCAAGGTGCGTTACGGATTGCATCATGTATGCACAACCCCAATCGGTAACATCAGGGACTGCCAGGCAAGCTGTTTCTTGAAAATTTATAATAAAATGAAAAGGGGAAAGGATTTCTATCGGGATGGGCAACAAGTGCCAATCCAAGAAGGGAGCATTCTGGGGAACTCTGTGGCGTTCTGTTCTTCCCTGGGCCTTCACTTTTTGGGGACGATGGGGCGCTTTAAGAAGCCAAATGCCTGGTCCTCAGGTAGATAAGCTCTTGGCACCCCTAAATTTCAGAATACAATCCTCCTGTGATTCCCCTCTTCTTCCCACTAGGATGAGGTGGCCGGGCCTGCCTCTCTCCAAAGGTAGCAATAGTAATAGCGATAGTACTTTTATATACTGCTTCGTACTGCTTTCCAGCCCGCTCTAAGCAGTTTACAGGGTCAGCGTCTTGCCCCCAACAATCTGGCTCCTCCTTTTATTGACCTCGGAAGGATGGAAGCCTGAGTCAACCTTGAGCCTGGTGAGATTCGAACTCCTTGCAGTGAGCAGAGTCAGGCTGCAATACTGCATTCGAACCGCCGCGCCACCATGGTACGAGACAAAACTGTACAGGTACTCACATATACATCTCCCCTAATGATTTATGGACGGGGAGCAGGCAGGAGATATCCTGAATGATGACTTTGCCAGCTGCTTTGATGGGCCGGCTGCTGGCCTCGGTCCCCTCGCGTTTGCTCTTCCATCTCCTGGACTTCTGCAGGAGGAGAGATGTCTGTCAGGAATGGGGGAGGATGGAGAGCAACCCAAATGCAACATCGTCAAGGATGGGAAAGCTTTGGGAACCAAATGATCCCTCCAGACTCTGCTCTACTTAGCCCACAAAAGAACAGCTACTATACCGAGGCTTCGGAAAACAGAGGGAAGGGCTGTGGTATTTTGGGGAGGAGGGAGGCCTACGGAAGGAGCTAAAGCAGGAACACAAGAACCATAAACTGAATCACACCACAGTCCAGTTAGCAGCAGGTTGCCCAAGATGGGTTTTTCACACACACACCCCTAAAAAGAAACACAACACGCATAAATTCAGGACTGACCTTCTCCATGCAAAGCACGTGCTGTGCCATCAAGCTACAACAAGATTATCTCTGGAGAGACTGCAGGAAAGGACAACCTTCCAGTGGCCAAAGGTGGGTTTCTCCAAGGAAGACACCAATGCAACCTTTCCTGACTTGGAATAGTTAACTGTGCAGGGATTGTAACTCCCAGAATTCCTACTGAGCAGGGAAAGGCTGGTCTATTGCATGCATTAGAAAGAGAATGGAAAGAAAGAGGCTTTCTGGGAATACAAAGGCTACAGCAACACAAAGCTGGCAGGAGAAATGAGAAGCAGCATTGCACAAGAACAAGCCGGCTTATTTATCTGGGGTTGCAAGTAACTCCTTACAGTTAAGAGCTTCAAAGATGGGATCTGCTGGTCATTTTACTCATCTCATCTATTGGCTACAGTAGTGGCCAAAATGGTGGAAACCTTTTGAGGAAAGTGTATTTTTGAGGTTTGATCGCTAATAACACTACTTTTTTGGGGAGTTTCAAGATAATTATATTCCACTGCTGGAATGGCCTGGGAATAGCCCAGATTTTAACCCAATTGAAAATTTATGGAGCCGACTAAAGAAATTTGTTAGTCAGAAGTGACCCAGCAATAACACCCAGTTAATAGAAGCAATCCTTCAATCTTGGTTTCACAGTAGAACAACTACAGAACTAAAAGACTTGGTTCACTCCATGGGAAGACGTTGTAAGGCCGTAATTCATGCTAAATTCATGTTACCCAACTATTAACTGACATGGTGATAATTTTTGTATATCTCATTTTTTCTATGGTGATAATTTTTGTATATTTCATTTTTTTCTACGTGTTTCACTTTTCTTTATACTGTAGCTGCTATTCTAATAACAAATTCTTCATAAAAGTGATTGCATTACATTCTTGATTCAATTATCTTTCCATCAATATATAATTTTATGGTATTACTGCAAAAAAAAGTGGTGTTATTAGCTAGTTTGAGAAAATACATTTTTCCCAAAAGGTTTCCACAATTTTGGCCACTACTGTAGATTTTCCATATCATCAGATCAGTTCCAAGTGCCCTTAAGGAGGAAGGGAATGCAGGCAGAATAGGAGGAATGGTAGCAATTTAGCCACGTGCTCTGTGGGATCTCCTAGTTTTGCCATCTAATTTGTAGAAGGTAGATAAATGCCTTATAACAGGATAAATTTCCCAGAAGAGTTAACATATTTCCCAATGACAAAAAGTTACTTATTTTATCAGGTTCGCCTGATACGCCAGTTGCGCCCCTTTCTGGATCGGGACTCCCTACGCACAGTCACTCAAGCACTCATCACCTCTCGTCTGGACTATTGTAACGCTCTCTACATGGGGCTCCCCTTGGGGTGCACCCGGAGGCTCCAACTGGTGCAGAATGCGGCTGCGCGGGGGATTATGGGAGCGACGGGGTGCTCCCATGTGACTCCTCTCCTGCGCGAGCTGCATTGGCTTCCGGTGGACTTCCGGGTGCGCTTCAAGGTGTTGGTGATCACCTTTAAAGCGCTCCATGGCTTAGGGCTGGGGTACTTACGGGACCGCCTTCTGCCACCAATTGCCTCCCACCGGCCGGTTCGCTCCCACAGAGAGGGCCTCCTCAGGGTGCCGTCGGCTAGACAATGCCGGCTGGCGACCCCCAGGAGGAGAGCCTTCTCTGTGGTGGCACCTACCCTCTGGAACAATCTACCTCCAGAGATACGAGTGATCTCCGACCTCCGGACTTTTCGTCGGGCCCTAAAAACTCATCTCTTTCAGTTAGCCGGTCTCTCTTGATTTTATGATTTTATGGTTGATTTTAAATTTTGATATGGATTTTAAATTGATAAATTTTAAACTATGGGCCAAATTTAATTATTTTAAATCTATTTTTAATCGTACTTTATGTATAAATGTTTTATTTTGGCTGTTCACCGCCCTGAGTCCGAAAAGAGAAGGGCGGTATAGAAATTTGAATAATAAATAAATAAATAAATTTTCCAGGGCGGTAGGCAAGAAGGGGAATAACAATGGTGACCAGCCACCTTTAAAAATCTGCAAAAAGTCAGCAAAATGTGGCTCAGAACAAAAATCCCTATATGGTGATTCCAGGTCATATTGAAGTGAGGAGATCTGCAACCCTATTCCGTAGATTTGGTTGCTTTGCCAGCAAATTTTGGCGGTGTAGTTTTGTGGGTACTGAAGGAGTTGCAAACAGGATGCCAGGAGCCTTTTACTCCTACCTTTAGGGTGCTGCACTCTAAAGTCTTGTTATAAGACTTGGAATAAAACCCTTTAGATTCATTTCCTGTCTGTGCAAAGGATTTACATTCAAGGTGAGGACTTGGTACATTTCCCAGTTTCCTCTGTGATGTGCCAATGTTTGCTGCAGGGGTTAAGAATGCATCCATGCACAGAAAAGCATGCAAAGCTCGTTTCCAAAAAGGTAAAGAGTGTATCAAAGGTCAAACTGCCGGTGCCACCATCACCAAGCAACTTCCAACATCTGGCTAGATATAGAAGAGTGTTGAAATATTTGGGATATGTGGTCTTTGGAGAAGTTTCCTGCTGTGAAAAGTTATAAGTATGACCTCACAGGAGGAAGTCACATGAAGTGATGCTGTGGTCAGAGTTCATGCCTCCCCCTGTGCATTTATGCAGCTGAAATTCTCACGCGCACCTTATGGACAATGGCAGGAATTTGTTAGCTGCTACTGCAGTCCTGTCATCTATGCCCCCTTGGTTTCTGAACGTGCAGATTGGTATGTGTTCTGTGCTTAAAAGAGAGAGAGAGCATGAAGCAAAATTTGCAATTTATCCCTTCTTTTGCAAATCACGTATGCTTGCGTTAGATTTGTAATTCTGAATTCTTGTTCTGCCTGACAAGTCCTTCCATACTTAATTGACAGGAAGTTGACAGGGAAGATCAGAAAAGAAAATCCGTACTTTTACTGTATTCTCAGCCAATCTAACACAATCCTCTACGTTTCAAAAATAAATCACTTGGTGGTTAAAGTGGCCTCACAGCTCCACAGAGTATAAATCCACACTCGGAATTTCATGAGGTATCACATACAAACTTTCACCTTTAGTTAAAAGTGAAAAGAAATCAACGCAACGGAGCCTATTAACGCATATTTAATTGGGAGCTTGCAATTGGAGATATTTATCTTTAAAAAAAAATAAAAACCACGAGGCAGCCATGGTGGGAGTAGATTGCTCCTCCTATTTATACCCTAAAATTCCTTCTCCAAGTGTTTCTTAAAAATTAAAATAACATCTCTTGAAATCCAAAAACTGTTTGTGTTCTACAGAACAACATTTAGCACTTTTAGCTGCTCTGCAGACAAGAGTTGTCGCAATTAAAGGTGGGAAGCTAGTAACCCCTAATGCAGCCAGAAACATCCATTTTCCAGCAAATATGTTTTTGGCAGAGCCCAGACCCCATTGGCCAGCAATGATCTAGCCTGGCATGGAACCATGGAGGGCAGATATTACAAGACGGGCAAGGGCACTAATGTCTAAAGGATGTAAAGGCACAGGGGAAGGACGAACATCAGCAAACTGGAGTGCCTCGTCTTCTAGAATCAGGAAGAGGTTGCAGGAAAAGAGCTGTGTTAACTTAGGTAGGCGAATATCAGGCACCTGGTAGTCCCTTCTCTAACCAACCAATTTTATTTTAGAAGATCATACCTTTTTAGAAAAACAGTTAGGCGGAAAAAATGCTACCAGACTCCTTGGGATTGCTAGCATCGGAAAAGGGACGCCAGGAGAGGGATGCAAGTAGGGGCTGCATTCCGCAAAACCAGGCCACCGTTCACGGAAAGAGACAGCCAAAGCGACAGAATTACGGATTGAGACAAGGAGCCAGCCCAAGAATAAGCCACTGGGGGTTTTTGTAGCACCCGTGAGGATCTTCACACAATCAGCAGAGCAGGTCACATACCAGGTTCATCCCGCTGCCTACAACTTCTTGGAGGAGCAAGCAAGAGGTGAAAACACTAGGATGCCCCTTGGCCAGTTTGGATGGGGAAGGAAATTGGTGTTAAAGATCTATGCTACCTTTTCTGGACTGGAGTGCATTTGTGATTGAGAAGTTTCCGGAAGGGGCTTTAAGGAAACAACTTTGGCCCAAGGAAAAAAAAGGCTTTTAAGAGTGCAATGAGTGACTTCAATTTTTACCAGGTGGAAGACCCCAAAACAAGGAGAGAGATGCATAAACCAATGTTTAAGGGCTTAGCCACTTCCTCCAAAATCAGAATGATTGACACAACAAAAAAGACACAGCCCACCCTCTCGTTCCCAGTTCTGGCTAATGACCCCTTAGTCCTGCTGAGCCCCCTCTGCTAAATAGGACCCCAACTATTAACTGCCCTCCTAGCAGGGGTGAAATGCTCCCGGTTTGGACCTGATCGCTCGATCTGGTAGCGATGGCAGCGGAAGGTTCGGAGAACCGGTAGCAAAAATCCCTCCCCCCCCCCCCATGCCCAACTGAGCAGCGCGATCCTCAGAGGCTTTTTTTTTTTTACTTTTCAAAGCATTTTTTCTACAACCTCTTCAGCCGAAAAAATGCTTTTAAAAGTAAAAAAAAAAAAAAAGTTGACCATGCCCACCCAATTACATTACCCCCCTCGCCACGCCCACAGAACCGGTAGTAACAAATTTTACATTT